GACGACCTGTTTGGTTGTCATGTGCGTTGCGTCTGCGGGTAGGATGGACTATTGAAGCGGGTGGCGACGGACAGGCGTGGATTGCCTCCTCTCAGGTTCGCCACGCGGCTCCGACTTCTCACGCGGTGTCATGATTGCTTTCACAAGTAAGCTAGTAGAGAATACGAAGGCGTAAATGAGTTGGCCGTGTCTGGTTCAGCTAATGACGGGCGATGGGTGAAATGGCTACTTGTCGTCGCAACTATCACGATATGCCAAGGTGGAGTAATTGAAAAGTTCGTCATGGCCGGATGCGGATTTAGATGGCCCACAATCCAGGTCTTCTCGCCGAGGACATCGCGCCGCAGTGCCAGCACTTCCACTGCGATCTTCTCCGCCCAGATGTGGTGAGGAGTGGCTGCCGCACGAACTCCGCATTCCATAAAGGTTTACACAATTGTGAACCCTGACAAATTCCTGAATGGCCACCGAGCAGGCGCAGCTAGCCCTTTCCAGTCACTCCCTCCACATTAAATAAAACAGGTTCGGCTGTCCAGCCCGAAGGGGAACGTCAGTAGGTAAAGTGAGACGAAGTCCTGCTTCTATTTCCTTGAGACTTGAAGTCCTGCTTCTAACACCCTAACTACTCTCTAGTGGTTCTCGCCCGCTGTCTATTCAGCCCAAGTACTGGTAGCCAGCTATTTCGAAGCTGGCTTCGCTTGCTTAGACCTAACGATTTCCTGAGTTTCCCGTACAAGGAGAGCCATTGCACAATCGGGGCAAAACTCGTCCACCGCGACCCCCTTGTTAGACTTTTTCTTGGACAGGCAAGGTGCTCGACCCCTTGAAGCCTTGCATCTCTCCTTGAAGAGTCGATCGCCTACATGACGGCAATTGTTGTAGTACTTTGTCTCGTACTTGCACATGGCGGCCTAAGGAGTCATTGGTTAGCGCCATTTACTTATACGGACTAATAGTTACTTACTGCACTGCTTGTTCGAGTAAGAAAGTTGCGCGGCAGGCTTTTGATAGGAAGGCTGAACGAATCCGAAGGAGGATGACCTCGTTGAGAAAACTTGGAGAAAATATATAGATATAGGCATCTGATTTGGTATTTCTTATTTCCTATGATTTTTATTTACTGTGAACTAGATAGCCCGTGGGAGCAGCGGCCTTGTGCTAGCCACGGGGGAACATATCCAATGATACAGCTGCGCTAAGCGCTGTACACAATTGGCTTACATGAGTGTAGTAGTGGCGTGCTTACTGCGGCTGGCAGGGAATACATATTCAGAGTGAGAAAAGCATCCTTTGTCCAATTGTAAGCGCGCGCTAAGAGAGTTGTTTGAATTAGCAGATATCGTCTCTAAATAAACTTTAGATCTTCAGCATAACCCATTACCTCGGTCCACTAAACGACAGTTTCAGAATGATATAAAAGCCATTGGTAATAATCAGGCAGTGTAGTGTAGTCTTTCATGTCACGCACCGAACAATCTTTATCATGAACTCGCAATGCTACCCGTGAGTCGTCTATACTATACTGGAAACTAACAACTCACCTAAATAATAGGTGTTATCGAATGTTCCTCCCCATCGTAGGGGAGAATCAGGCCCGAATTTGGTCAGCCTTGGACTGTCCCCACCGCCAGGGTCCGGACACGCCGCCCAACGCCACTTCGTTAGTCCAACCGGTGCCCTCGCCTCCACGGTTAGCGCAGGCCCTGGAGCAGATCGAGCCCGGCCCTAAGTCGATGAATCTGCAGCCTCAGTCATTGGCAGGGAAGAAGAAGAGAAGACGACAGTCATCGAAATTCGCAAAACAACGGAAGGCTCTGATAAGAAGGTCTCACAACTTGGCTAAAGACGGTGTCAGAGTCTTTAGCTACATTGCAAGGAGTAACCAAGTATGGGTATTCAATAGTCACCCGGGCGATGAGACATTCCTACCTAGTATACTAAAGGTTGTGAGTCCACAATATTAAGTATAGTATAATAGGCTAACTACGGTTTAGGGAGGCTCTTGCCCTGGCCTCAAAGTGTACACACCAGAGACTTGCAAGGCATAGATTTTCGTATACAGTTGGCACTGCTTGCTTTACTGAAGCTCTTTACACCAGGTTCTCAAACATACGACAGTAGTGGTGTGAATATAAGCGAAATCTAGAGCTCCTTAAGTAGAAAGTAGGGTGCAGTATGGACGACTTACGTTCTCTGATATCTATCAACTATGTGACGGTGGTGCCTGCCGTCGGGGTGCGTGTGACCCAGGTGCTCTGGCAGTTAACCTCTGCATCGCGAGAGCTCTTCTTCTTTTCCTCCCCATCTTGTAAATTTACATAAAGAGATCTTTCCGCAGCCTTGTTTCGGCCAATGGCCCTCTGCTCGTGACAGAATACATGATGTCAGCGCTTAAACATACAAACATATACACACATGCACACATAAAAGACGTAATTCATTCTGCTCGGAAAAGGGCAACAATCTCACATTTTCCGAGTGCATAGTCTGGTAGTAGCCATTTAGCATCCAGTTGCTTAAACTATTTAGAACAAACGTAATGGCAAGGCACATCGTTATATTCTTTTCATCTTCTAAATATTCGGCGAAGGATTAAGTCTTGTGGCAGATGGCTGGTGCGGCGCGCCGTGCTCCAGACGTCATCGACATGATGGGAGGCGATTCTGAGGTCCCGGGAGCGGGGCATCTCCGTCCTCAACGCAAGAGGGTGAACACGACGAGGGCGCTGGAGTCAATGCGACAAGAAGACGACGTGGATTGGGAAGAGGAAAATAGCAGTGAGAAAAGGCACGGAAGCGACGAAAATGTCCACGATTCTGGCTGCAGCCGCCGGCGCAGCGAGCGAGGAAAACCAAGGCCCCGAACGACATGCGGACCATAACTTCAACACAAAACTAGACATCATCAAGGCAGAAGTCCAGCTCGAATTCCGAAAACTCAGGAACCAGATAGCAGAGGAAGTCGCCAAAACAACAGCCCAGTTGACGCAAGAGTTTTCGCAAGCGCGAGAGGACCTCAATCAAGCTCGCAGCAAGCTCGAGCACACTAGGCTCCAGCTACACGCTGTGACGGGGTCTCAGGGAGCCGCAGTGAGTCGGCCAGCATACGCGGACGTCGCACGATGGGTCCCACCGGTCAGCATTCCTACCCCGGCCTCGTCCACAGGTCGGGCGCAACTCCAGAACCGACTTTCTATACAGTGGACGTATTAAGGGTACCGGAGGAGCATGCTGGTGAAACTACATCATTGGCGCTTCGCAAGCTCGTTGAGAAGGAGATGCAAGCTCCCGGCGACCAGCCTAGTTGGCGGTGTGCTGCGGTCACCAGGGATGGAGAAACTGCCAACCACCTTAGGGTTGTGGGCAGGAACAAGGAAGAGCTGAAAAAGATCAAGGATATCCTCGAAGCCAAGAAATCGCCAGGTGCAGGAGTCCTTTGAGACCAGCTGCACCCAGTCAAAGTTGACAATGTCAACCGTACGGCTGTCATTGACCACAAAGGCAAGGTCCTCCTTGGGGCCGCAGAAGCCCTCGGTCAGGAGGACGACGTACAAATTGCCAAGTTGGCCTGGTTGAGTCGAAAGGACAGCGCGAAAGCATACGGATCAATGGTGGTATATGTCACCAAAGCCAGTGACGCTAGGAGGCTCCTGGACGAGGGCTTCGTCCACGCCGGAGGAGAATCAGGATATACGAGAATATTCGAGCGTCGGATCCGGCCGGAGCAGTGCTACAACTGCCAGCAGATCTGACACAAAGCTTTCCAGTGCAGGAACCCTCAAGTGTGCGGGAGGTACGCCAAGGAGGACCACCGTCACAACGAACGCACGGAAACCGGTGTATATGCGTCCTGTGCGGAGGACCCCACGAATCGTTTAGCAAGAACTGCCGGAGACTATACCCATCTCGTCATGAGTAGGATGCTCCGCATTGCACAACTTAATGTGAGGAAGCAAGGGGAGGTACACGACAGCTTAAATGAACGACATTAGGATTCAACGCGCTACAGTTGTCGCTATCCAGGAACCCCAAGCACGGAGGATCCAAGGACGACTTTTAACGACCCTTATGAGTCATCACAAATGGACCAAGATGGTCCCGACGACCTGGAGGGAAGGTAGATGGGCCATCCGGAGCATGTTCTGGGTGAACAAGGACGTGGAGGCCGAGCAGGTGCCGGTAGACTCCCCGGACATATAAGGTGGTGGCGAAGGCGAGGCGGGGAACAGGAACAACGGTCGACGTGGCGAACGTTGGGTTATTTCAATGCATGACCAAATGTGGGGAGGAGACGACGTCTTCTTCAAGAGACAAGGAGAGGCCGACCCAATCCTTGACCTGATGAACGAACTTGGTCTGAGCAGTCTACTCACGAGGGGCACGACAACATGGCAAGCTGGTGGATACGACTCAACCATCGACCTGGTCCTGGCCTCGGAGTAGCTGTGAGAAGCCACGGTTAAGTGCGGAGTATATGGGACAGACCAAGGGTCGGATCATCGTACGATTGAAACAGTCTTCGACATTCGAGCACTTCCCCGAGCAGGGATGCTTCAATGCACAGATATCCACAGGGGCAACCTCTCCTTCTTCCAAAGAGGGAAGTCGCCTTCGGATGACAAGAACAAGTCCCCGGATATGCAAGCGGTGCGGGCAACTATACGGTTCGCAATGGCTACAGGCCGTCTGGACGCAGACCAACCACAGAACGGGACAGTATAAACCCGTCACCACTAACGTACCATTACCCATCTCGTGCTACGCCGAGTATAGGACGTTGAACACTTGGAGAATGGACTTCAAGTTGGCTTATTCATGATGCTACTAACCCACGAGTACCCGCAGAGAGCAGGGCAGAAGATTGAGGACATAACGCACAGGATATGGTCGTATGGGTTCTAGGAGACCTCGTTGATGCGTGATAGTTGCCCTTGCGGGTTAAGCCCGCCGGGCGGAATGAATTGTGTAATACTGTGAGTGAGTGAGAGTGTGTGTGTGAGTGTGTGTGAGAGTGTGTGTGAAAGTGAGTGAGTGAGTGAGTGAGTGAGTGAGTGAG